GATTGAACACGGACCCAAACTGTTACAGCTTGTTCAAAAATGTGATGTTGGTTTTATTTAAAATCCATCTAGAAGAGGCACTGACTTTGGCTGCTGTGGTTACCAACTAACGTCATTTGCAATTGTATGCCTGGCTGCCAAAACTCATCTCATTGGCAATGCCCCTCTCTTGACTCTGTCTTTCATTTGGACTCGTTCTTGACTCTGTCTCAACTAGTCCTGGTTTTCTGACAGGTCTTGGACTCAAAAAGGTGCTTTTGGTTAAAGCACTGACATTCAGACACATTTTGTCACAGGTCAAAAATGCTCTGCAATGTGCCTCTAGAGAGACAAAATAATTGAATTCAAATTAATTAGTGTCTTGCATTATCATGTTATTTAATGCTCTTGGAAAAAGTCTCCTCCTTAAACACTTCCCAGGGTTAAACAACAGATTTTTCCACTTACTTTTTCACTGTACTTTCCCTGCTCTAAACTGGACTGACAGGAGTGAGAGTGTGATATGTGGTTGCATCATATGATTCATCCTCCACTTATTCTGCATCCGTGTGGGGGCAAGTCTGCTTACTCTATAATATGAAAGGTATTACAGAGAACACCCGTCATGACTCAGCAGTTTTTTTGGGTCAGTGTATCAATCAGTAAATGGGAGGCACCACATAAAAGTGTCCTTACTTTTATGAAAACAGGAAATAGATGATGGAATGTTAGAGGAATCTCAAACAACTGAAACCCCCAAAACAAAAAATTGTGCAACCTTTGGCTGCCGGGAGTTCCACGTGCTTTGAAGGCCAACCACGTCAAAAAGAGCTCATAAAAATTTCCACTGTTCACTTGGTTACATTTTTCTTATCTACATTTAAAACATTAAAATGCCATTATGGTTTCCCTATCATGCTCTGATGAAGAGTACTGTTTGTGAATACAAGTTAAGAGATAATGGAGTATATATAATGTCCAGATCACTATTTTCTATTCATGACAACGAGCACGCAACAATTATCCTGTCATCAGGTTATTCATAGAATTGATGAATAATAATAATAGGTTATTAGTAGTGGTTCTAGTAACAATAGCAGTATAACAATAGTTGTAGTTTATTAGTGTTGATTGTGAGAGGGCAAGTCTTATGTCTTCATAACTGTTACAGGTGTCTGACAGCTGTCCATTATAACATTTTCCCTTCAAAGTGGTTCTCATTGTATTTGTTTTTACATTTATTACCCATAATCCTTTAATACATAAACTAGGGATGCACCGATATATGGGCTGACCATCGGGATCGGGCCTATTCGTAAGTAAGATGATGTTCACCGATCTCAGTGGCCAATGTTTATCTGTTACTTCACATCAGTTTTGCACTGACTAAATGTCGTGTTGGTTATTTCCAACTCAGATACTGGAGACTGGAGACACAGCAGACATGCTCCATGCAGCAGCATGGACAGCTTTACTTTCTCACATCTTGGAAGAGTAGAGAAGAAATGGACTGAGCTGCAGAGATGCTTATCTGAGCAGCTTTCTCAGTTTCCCTGACACACAAGGGTGAATGAATAACAACACAAAACATCTGCATTGGTATCGGTTATCAGCCAAATTGTTATTTTAAACATTTGTATTGGCCCAGAACTTACAAATTGGTGCATCAGGAGCAAATACGTATGTACATATTAAAGCTGTGTGGCTTTGTAAACCCTGGCTGACACGTTTAACAGGATTGTGGCAGATCAAAACTTGATTCTCACATGTTTTTGTCTGAAGCCTGTCCAAGGCTCAGGTATCAAGTGTACACCAAATACTGAGATCTGAGCAGCCTATATATCCAACAATGTTATTGAACTCCTGTTATCATTCGATCACTCTGACTCATTCATGGGAAAGCAGGATTTTATTGTTGTCGTTGTGGGTGGGGCTCATTGTGAACTGTTTTGTATCAGATTTTCATTATGGATTCATCTGCTGATTATTTTCTCTATTAATCCATTGACTGAAAAAAAATCTGTGAAATAGTGAGAACTGCCGTCCACAATTACCAGTTCCAAGAAGTCGCAAAAGTGACCACCTGTCCAATGCTTATTTTTCCAAAACCCTCAAAATCATAGGTTTCAAAAATCAAGGTTTGAAACCGCATAACAAACATTTTTTGCATGAAAAAAATACTTAGAACTATTATAAAATGAGTTGCCAATGACCGTAATAGTCGAGCTCTAGTTAGTGCCATTGGCAACCATTTGTATAGTGGTTTCGATATAATGTTAAACCTGTATAAAACTGGTAACAAAACATCATATTTTGACTGTATACAACAGTATTTACTGAGTGCTTATTAGTAGTGACTCAACCCCCAGGCCTTACTGTCCCCACAGCAAACCTTGTTACAAACAGGAAACCACTGCTACACACTACTGCTCTGTAATGAAACACAGGCCAAAAGTAACTGCTGATTGAATCTTTGACAATCTGTTCAGAAACTCATCATATGCGGTTTATTTTCCAGGTTCCAAAACCTAATGCACTTATGAAACACGTTTTTATCAGCTTAATCACATTTAAATCAAACAATAATGCTACTTTATTATCACGGTGTGACGCCATTCAGCTGGTGTTTGTGTGTTTTACAATGTGACCTCTGCATACCTCACTCTAAAGCTCAGGCACTGGTTCAACGCGCTCACATTTGCGGTTATTTCACAATAACTGTGCTCCCTCAGAAAACAGCTTTGTGTGAATTAGAACAGAGAACTCTAAATCTTTCTCTACCCCTTTCATTGCTCACGCGTTCATTTGTTACCCTCACATACCTGTAGAAGCAGCGATCAGAGTGGCGATCAGGAGGAGGCGATGATGCATGCCCACAGCGCACAGGTGGGCTCTCTCTCTCTGCCGGGGGGCCACCATGAGAGGTGTCGGACAGGTGTCGTGTTTGCGTGCAGCTCAAGCGCCGACTGACAGCTTCATTCACAAACTTCCGATTTTTGCGTAGCAGTGAGGCTTTCAAGAACAGTAGGAACGCTCAGTTATTTTGCTCCCTCCCACGCGTGTTCCTGCTTCTTACTGAAGCGAAACCTTTAAAACAGCTGGTGCATGATTCATAAAATGCATTAAGAAGCAAAAATAGACACTGGGGTTTCTTAATGAATGCAATATAGACAAATCTACTCTTTAGTAATGTCTCCTGCTGTAATGTACGCTTCACATAGGCTAAATGAAGCAACCACAATCACACACACTGTGCTCTTTTATCTGTTTACATTATTCCACTCCCTGGGGTTGCAGGCTGTAACTTAGTGTTTTAAAGTCTCTTTGGGTTTAAAAGCTGTTGCTGTTTTTGGGGGCGGTGACAGTTTGATTCGGAAGTGTAATTTCCCAGTTCATGAACGTCACATTTACAAACAGGGCTGTCCGTAAGAGACTTCTCTGGGTCATGCACTCTGCACAGCTCATATGCACAGTGCTGTCAGAGGCACGGCTGTGGGAAAAGAGGTCATGTGACATGACAGCTATAGTAGAACATTCATAGTAAATAGCCAGTAGTGGAGGAGTAGTAGAAGTAATCAGATACTACAGATACAGATACTACCTGTTAGACAGT